GCCCTCCTCAGCTTAGCTCAATATCTTCCTAACTAGTCATAGGATTTTATATACGTATTGGAAGAATATATACGATAACTGTACAGAAACTAACAAGGAATCCCCAAAATTTCCTCAGAATTTTCATATTGTCACCAACACATGTGGTTGACCATGCGTAAATTTTACCGCTCTGTAGGTATAAGGGGGAAGTGTCGTATGTCCCTATTGCTGATTGGGTCAACCTACACAGAGAGACATTCTCCAGGGGAGGTAACTATTCGCTGTGATAGTGTGTGGTTAGTTGAGCTGCATGATTACAGGTGGATTTGAGGAGACTGCGAGGACTGGCTCGAGCAGTGAGGCTGAGGCGCCTTCTAGACCGTGGCTTGCCCAGGAGATACCGGAAATCACTAAGAGGAGCGCCAAACATGTTTGTTTTGACGGTGGAGAGGTATTGTTATTATGAGTGTTTGATTTGACTTGGCTCACTACAGGGTCACTGTGTTATCTACTTGAAGGATGGTGGGCCGTTGTCCAAGGAAGAAGAGGATGGACTTGTTGAGCTCAGGGAACGATTCACTTCACAACTACATAACCGGTAGATAAAATTTTCTGGTTTGGTCGTATGAGCTCATCGATCATCTTAGAGGCGCTAAGCTGCGTTGGGTGTGGCTCGATGTGTCCAAGGAGGCAGCTTGGGCTGAGATGTTTGGCATTAGTAAGTTCCCCAATGTTGTCGTTTTCAACCCTCATAAGCGTCTCCGCTTCTGCAAGTTTGACGAGGATGACGAGGAGTAGGTGTTGGTCGGCGGTTCGCGGTTGGTATATCCGATTGTCTCAGGCATAAGGGAGATAAGGAAGGCATTGAATACCTAGTGGATAAGGTGCTGGGAGGTGACGGCCGATTCAAGATTGTTAAGGGACAGAAACTTCCGGAACTTTCGGAAAGGGAGGAGGATACGAAGAAGCCTCAAAATGGGAAGGATGAGTTGTAAATGCCGTGTACGGCTAATCCAGTTTTACTCGTGGCTGAGATGCTTTTTTGGATGTTTCCCACAGGCACAATTATTTCCAGTGTTGTGTTGTCAGTGGTGGCGATAGACACTGACTTGGTTTGTAGCCACTGTCGCGGAATTTGTCTTGATCTGTGAATGGTCAACGCCCCAGGCTTCCCATCTATACGGGA